CTGGTGCGGCCGCCGTCCGGCCGCAGAGGGAGCAGATCACCCACTGCGCGAGGCTGCTGCGAGTCGACGCCAACCACTTTGCATAATATTTGTAAAGTATTTCCAACGCGCCCAGCGCAACAGCCATGCGGCCGCGGCCGCGCCTGCGCCGGCACTCCTTTGCCAAGCCACGCGTCCGCGCCCCTGACGTGCTTACACGACGTGTGAAACATCCCTGGCTGAGACGCTACTCTATCCTCTGCATACAATCAGGGCCCGAGTCAAGGAGGCAAAACAATATTGCCATCACCAACAGGGAAAGCCCACAAAATAGACATGATACCATACGGTAGGCACCAAAACGCAAAAGAACGGACACACATGAACGTCGGACCAGCCACTGCTTTGCATCGGGCGACAGCTGGCGAGAGCTGCCCTGGGAAGCTGCTGGGCAGCTACAGCTCCCTCTCCAAGAGCATGACGGACTCCACGTGGGGCGTGTGGGGGAAGAGGTCGAAGGCCAACGCCTTGACAGGCCTGAAGGGCGTCAGCGGCTCGCCTGCGTGGGAGATAACATAATACAAGGGGGCAGGGGGGCAACAGCTGTAACAATGCGCTCGACATGATTGGGCGACGGTTGTGTGTTGGGAGAGAGGAGGCAGGGCTGGGCGTTGGCTGGTGCTGGCGTGGGGGCGCAGCGGAGCGGCGCCGAGCTCGAGGGCCCGGGGGATGCAGGCGCCAGCGGCCAGGATGCGGCGCAGTCCGCCGCGTTTGCAACCCGCACTTATGTGCCCCGCGAGGCGCGAGCAGACCGGAAGAAAATGCGCCCAAGCCGCATCCGCACCCCGCCCCCCGTGCGCCCCGCGGCTCGGGGCACCCACCGATCCCCTCGCGCCGCGACGGCTTGCACAGTATCGCGCAGTCGCGCGCCAGGCTGTCAGGGTTGCAGGCGATGTACACGAGCCGCGTGATCTGGGGGCAGCCCAGCAGCGCCTTGAGCACGAACTTGTGGAGGCCCGCGCGGGGCGGGTCCACGATCGCGGCGATGTCGTCATTGGCGGCGGCGTGGTCCTGGGGGTTTGGGGTTTACGGGGCGTGGGGGGATTATTGGTGTTGCATTCACAAGGAACCAGTGCCTGGCTGGGAGCTCGGCAAATAGAGCGTGAGATGCCTAGGACCTCCACCATGCGCTCGTCCCCGGTTTTACGTCCTGCCGCCCTGCTGGGCAGCAGGCGCGCTCGTCCCACATACCAAACATTGATCCACCAAACTGGCTGCCTGCTGCCCTCAACACACAACGCCCGTCGCCGCACCAATCCATGACACGAACGAAAACCCAGCCTCCATACCCCAGCCACTCCCGCCTCCGCAGCCGTCCTCAAAAAAGCCATGCCCCATGCACGGGAACCCCCAGCTCGCAGCGCCGCGCGCCCCCCCGAGACCTCACCCGCAGCAGCCGGCCGAAGACCTTCTCCGCCGCCCCGCACACCCAGCTCGCGTTGCCGACGCCGTTGAGCGCCGCGTTGGCCTTAGCATCCTCAACCGCAGACTCCACGTTGTCAATCCCCACAACCGCCTTGGCGCTCGCGGCCAATGAGATGCCGATGGTGCCCGTCCCGCAGCAGACGTCGAGCAGGAGGGTGGAGGGGGTAGCTGCCGCCCAGCTTCCCGCCAGGTGGTACAGCAGGCAGGTCGCGCCGGCGTTGACCTGCGGGGGGAGAGGGTGGCTGTTTGTTGAGGTTCCAGATTGGAGTAGAAGTCCGCGGCCGTAGTTGTGAATCAGCGCGGCGGCGGGCAGCGGTGAGCTGTCGATGGGCGGTTCGGCGCGTGCGACTGGGGCGAGTGGTGGGTGAGCAGGCTTGCGTTGCCGGACCGAGCCTGGCGCGCTTATTTCGCCTCTGGTGTGGCTTACAAATACCAAGTCGGGAAACGAACTCACTCCTGTGCATGAGAACACATATCCAGGCATGAATGTACACGTACTGATCGGTGGGCATGCGCACGCGCACACGCACACACGCCTACCCTCACGCACACACGCAAGCACACCCGCGCCCCCACCCACTCGCACACTTGTGGACAGGCGCATACCCACCTGGAAGAAGGCCTGCGGGCTGATCCTGAACTTGAGCTGGCACAGGGAATCGGTGATGACGCCGCCAGACCCCTCCGGCCCCCCGAACCCGGCCACAACCCGCGTCGGCGCGCCCGCGGGCGCCGCGTTGGCGACGCCGCTGTGCAGCTGCACCCATAGGGCCGTCAGGCTGAGCCCCTGGGCGGCGGCGCGCTCCCGCAGGAAGCTTCCCAGGGCCTGGGCGTTTGGTGGGCGCGTAGCAAGGGAATGACTCGTGATGCATCGACATGGTAAGTTTGCAAATTGTACTTACAGTAACTCATACACAATACTGACATAGACTCGAATTGTGGTACACGGCGTTGCTAAACTATGCGCCCTGTGGTGTGCTTTTGTGAGACGCGCCATGCCATGAGACGGGGAGGCAGACGCGACAGCCGGACTTGTTACTACCGCGCTAGGCGCAACAGCGCGCCGGGCGCAGCAGCAAGGCATGGCACGGAGCAGCTAGGGGTCTGAGCGCAGCGCAGGACCTCCTGACGCCCCGCCACGATGCAAATTGGCACGCCTCGCCAACCAGATGGTCGCGGCAGCATACCCCCCCCCCGCCGCCCTTTGAACCTCCTTCAAAGGGGCCCCGTGCTGCCCGCGTCCCCAAACGTGTGCACCCTGTCGTAAGCCCCACGTGGCAGCTGCGTGGCAGCCGAGCCGGGGCTGCCGCCACCCGCCCCCCTCTCGCGGAAAAGAGCATGGCCATGCCACACCCTGACCTCCCGCCCCCCACTCGAAACATCTAAATTCAGGATCAACACAAAACCCAGGATTGCAGAGCCTCCCAGCGCACGCGACACGCACGCACTCAGTCGGGAGGCAATGGCGCACGGCGGTCCCACATGCGTAGGCGCTCACCCCCACATGCAGGACCGCCGGCCGTGCTGGCGACCGACGGCCGGACGACCAGCCCCGCAAAACTTGACGCGCACACCGAGCTGCGACCAGACGAACGCCGTCAACACGCCATAACACCGGCTGAGCACCCGACCACGTAGTTCCTCAGTCACGGCCTCAGCAGCCGCATCCGCACGGCATGGATCACACCGCCCATTACCCCACCCCAGACCGCCCCAAAATCCTCAACCGAAAACCCTCCACCCCAAAGTCCTCCACCTCAAAACCCTCCACCCCAAAACCCTCATCCCCAAAGCCCTCAACCCAAACCCTCGACCCCAAACCCCAAACCCCTCTGCTCCTGCCCCCACCTGCAACTCCGCCTCCATTGTCGCCTCATCGGTCACAGCAGGGTTGACCTGGCGCAGCACGTGCAGGGGGGGGGGGCGGCGCGCTGACGTCAGCCAGGAAAGTGCCCAAGCGGGGTGCGCGGCGCAGTGTGTGCACATTGGGTGGCCGGGCCAGCGGCCCGCTGGCGTGGCCGGGTGAAAAAAGGGGTGCAAACGCAGATAAGCTCGTTTTTGTTTGATGTGAGGGGCCGCGGGAGCCCCACCTGAACCATCAGCAGGACGTGCTCAGGGGAAGGCGCCGCCGGCTCCGCCTCGGGCACCTGGTGCAGGGTGAGGGGGCGGAGGTGGCGGCGGCGTGGGCACACACGGGCACGATGGTTGGGCTAGCGGGCGGGCGTCCAATGCAGCTCTGCCAGCAGCCGTGTTGCCAAGCTTTCAATCCCTACATCCCACGGGTTCCCTTGAAACCCTGGCAGCCCCCCGCAAGATTGCTGCTATCGTTGCCCCGCACACCAACCGCACTGCGCAGCGTCCCCACAACGCTCACCTCCGGCGCCGCCTCCCCTTGCGCGACAACCGGCACCGCCCACCGCTCCAACGGCAGCGCCCGCATCTCGCAGCCCCGCAGCAGCCGCCCGCCGCCGGCAGCGTCGTCGCCCTGTGATGTCATGGTGACGTCACCGGCGCCGCCGCCGGCGCCGGCGTCACCGGGTGACGCGGGGGGCAGCGGCAGGAACGTCTCGTCGCGGCCCTCACGGACCACCAGGAGCCGCCAGAAGCCGCCCCTGGACTCGTTGCTGCCGGCGCTGACCTGGCGCGGCGCGGCGTGCGCGAATCTTGCAATGTCAGGCTGCTGAAGGCACAGTAGCTTTATGCTGTGGGTGTGGGGCTCGGGCACGACCCGACGCTGTAGATCTGGCGACCACCAATGCGGACCGGACCATACGACGCCGACCCCTGGCGCTTCCTCTCCCCACGCTTTCGATCCATGCTTTTGGACGTGCTTTGTATACAGACAGCTGCACTAAAAAAGCAGGAGCGTCCCTTAGTCACGTCAAGGGGCGCGCGTAGCCCTCACCTTGCTCTTGTCCCACGCGGGCAGCTTGCTGACCGTGCGAATGTACTGCTGAGTCAGCGCGGCGTAGGCGAGGCTGGTGGGCGACATGTGGCGGCAGCCATAGGGGTCTGCCACACACACAAAGCCGTCCTGGTGTTGATGACCAGAGGAGAGGGGGGCGGAATCGGGGAGGTGTCAGCCGCGGCTGGAGTGGGTTTTTCGAGGAAACGGTGCTTGGCGGAAGACAGTGAGCGTGGGGTGCAGCGCAGCCGCCCGCGGCGGAGCGTATCCATGCCTGCGCCGGCGGGTTCGCACGGGCGCGCCCCTGCGCCCTCCAGTGC